AAACATCCTCCACTACAACAGACAAACTGCAACACAGATATGGTGCTGTAATTACAGAAGCACTACCTGGAGGATGCATCTGTCAAACTTTCTCTTCGACATTTCTCACCTAATCTCACCGTCGGCGTAGTTCTTCTCAGACAGCTGGATCGTCAGCACTGCTTTCTGTCGAGCCAGTGCAGATGCATGCTGGGAGGCAGCTTGAGTGTCGCCTGCTTCGACCGCCCTGGCGAGCTCCAAACAAAGCTCTTCTAAATTAATAAATAAATAAAATCAATCAATCAATGATGCAGCAATGAAAAGTGACATTTTTGACAAAATGTCAAAGTTAAACACAGCAACTCTCACCTGTGAGTGGAAGTGAGGCCGAACTCCACTGCTCCATCGTAGCTACTGCTGTGTTGTTCTGTTTGCACTCAGACTCATACATGTTAATATTCGCAACTGTTAGAGAACAGATGTGACAAGACAACAATATCAACTCAGGTCAGCGCTGTTTCCAAGCAAAAATCTTCTGTATCACTATGCTAGTAGTTAGTTTTATGGAACCTTATTTTATTTTTTTAACACCCAAAAGGCCTGAAGGAGCAGAACCATGGCTGCTGTCAGAATGTTCTGAACAATCAAACTGTATAACCAGCACTGCTTTATGTCAAAACCAAAAACCTTCTGAAATCTTCTGACAGATGTGCAATACCCTAAGACCTTAAGGTTCAGAGCTTCTCGTCTTATATTATACTATCTTATTAATTAACCCCTAGGTGACCCTCACACTGAGTCCTTGCCCATTAGTCATCGCTCCACTCCTGTCTCTTTATTTCAGCTTCCTCCTCTGTTGCATCATCTTGAAAATGTTTTCTGTTGTAACTATTCAGTGTAGATTTCTTTTATCAGGCTTCAGCAAACAACAGATTCATTTCTCAGAGTACAAAAATGCTCAAAGCACACTGACCCCTATGTGCCTCTCTAAGTGATGACATCACTACTGTGGCCCACTCCTCAGCTTCTCGGTCACAGCGAAAGTTGAAGCGGATGCAGTCGTGCGGTGGAGCTGCCAGGCGCATTTCATGACAACGAGGAGACTTGACCTCATAATGAACAGAGCGCAGGTCAAACTCTGCAATGAACTACAACAGATAACAAAAGGGTTATCACTAATCAGGATCGTTGGGAGTGCACTGCAAAATAAAATCAAATAAAATGAATGGCAGAGAATCTACAATTGTGTTTCCAGACAGTTGTAAATGGCTGTGTTGATATATGTTCATTTATGATTACTGATTATGTGAAACTTAATGAATGAGAAATAAAAAATCCCTGTCTAATAAACAGCAGACAGCAGTCTATTTAGCATAACTGGTTCCATTCAAATCCTATATTAACTTGATTTCCTACTGTAACACAGCAGTATTTGTATTTGTTGTTGTTGTTTTTGGCAGCATTAAAAATATACAAGTAAAATATCAATTGGATTGTATTAAAAAAACCTGTTGGTTAATTACCGTAGAAAACCGTAAATAATTCGAGGAATCTAAATTTTAACATATTTGACATTGCTTCTAAGATAATAGCCTACGTCACTAGAACTACAATATGTTTTTTAATGAAATACGGCCATTGCTTTTAATTAAGAAAGCGCTCATCAGTCCTGATGTGCAAATACCCCCAATCAAAATTAAACCCGGATCTGAATATGTAGACACATGGCCTTTATGATTTAATATACAAACTTGAATACAACATCGTCAGAACATACAAGTCGACCTATAGCTATAGCTATACACACAGGTGCAGAGTGCAGTAAACTCTCACCACACTGCGGTTTCCGCTTGTATCTCGCAGCGCAAGCCTGAACTCTCCGGCCCGGCTTGGGTCCATGCTGAGCTGGAGACGAAGAGTTTCGCTGCCCGCTCCGGGGAGACATAAGGGCCGGATCCCTGAATGGCACACTGAAACACGGACTGACATCAGAACTGTAGTGCAGCACGCTGTGGGAGCTGGGCCACCGCACACAACCTGCTGTGATGAGACAGATACCGGGGCTGTTGACGCCCAGCCACCCGAGCTGAGAGCCATGTCACGGGCGCCACAGTCGGGATCGAAGGATCTAGCGCCTGTCGGTGAGTGTAAACGCTGTCCGCTCCTGTTGTGTGGTTTAGGAGGTCCAACGATGTTTATTAAAGGCGTGCTTTGTTACCGACAGGCTTTGGGTTACTATTCGCTTGGCAAATTCTTCCATATCTACCTGAACTCACACAGAGAAGCGAAAATAAAACACAACAGGAAGTGCCGGAGTACGTCCCTTATTTATGTCCGTAGAGAAATTGTGCTGTGATATAAAGAGCTCAGTTTATGTTGCTCAGTTGCTCAGTATATTGTCGTCAGCCCAGTTGTGCAAAAATATTTCATATGTCATCTTTTACAGAGACAAAAAGGCGCATGGTGTGTGAATAACCTGTATTTGTCTGTTTGTCTCCGATACAAACATATGAAAAACGTCTTTCTCTTTACCTGAATTATTCAAAAATAAAAATAGAGATATTTCTTAATAGTGCGGAATCTCCCCACCATGTGATTGCAAACGATTCCTGCACAGTTTGATTCATGTTTCAGTTGAAACTGAGTTTTAGTCAGAACAAAATGCACACTGTGTATGCAAATGTGTGTGTGTGTGTATTTGTGTTAGTGAGAGAGGGAGGGAGAAGGGGATGATTAAAAATCAAAATTTAACAAAAGCTTGTTAATAGAGCACCTATCACCCATGCACATTGTAAACCAAATAAGTCACTACCTGGGAAATAGTTCATCAGGTACAGTCCTGCTGGACACAGCCAAGGTCATAACAGCTGATTTGTTGGGTCTGCAGAAATAGAGAGGAAAAAATGTCTGTGTTGCAAAATACACCATATGGACGGAGCTTAAAGCACTTAGAATATGCAGCACTAGGAGGACGAGCATACCAGATCAGGAAGGAACTCAAACAGGTACAAAGGTTTTTTTTAAAGAAAGTTGAACCTAAATGGTATGGATAACAGAAACAGTCATTTTATGTGTCATCATATGAGAAATTAATTTGCTGCAGGGCCTGGAAAAGCCTTTTAAAACCGTCATAGATGTATCTTCTGGTAACCTGCACAGCGCAGGCATAAAGCCTTTGACTTTTGTCAGACAGGTGATCTTTGACCCTTAATAAATGAGATTTAAGATACAAAATTACTAAAGTTTTTTTTTTTTGCTAAATGTTTGCGGTGTGATGTGTTTTAAAGGTTTTTGCAGCATGTCTTTATCCTCAGCTGATCAAGAGCAACAAGCTGCCTGCAGATGTTAAGCAGAGAGCCCAGGCACTGCTTGAGGAATGTGCTGGAGGCAGCGTGGGTAGGGATTTTATATCTTATTTATATTGTTTAAATTATATATATTTTTCTTAGATTGATTATAATGACATCGGAGGTGTTGATTAAAATGAAAACTATATCAATAAAGGGAAAACAATACATGATACTAGACAATGTTTTAGGACAACTTTTTTTAAAACATGTTACACAATTTAACAGAAGTGTATGAATGGCTAAATAGTAGGGTGCCTATAAACAGGAATACAGCATTGTTTTCTGAATTTATAATCATACAATATAATGAAATATAATTTAAGGCACAAAAAATGAATACCATCTTGACAACTGATTATTATTATTATTGTTGTTGTTGTTACTGTTAGTGATGATATTTATTTTGACAGTATCTCTGTGTTAGTATGTTAAAAATATTTATTTATGAGATATACTTATAACAAAAATATTGATATTTAAAACATGATTTAATGTTATTTGCATAAGCATATAAAAGTACAGCCCTGGAGGTGCCATGTTCATCTAACTTAGTTTATTTTATAATGCTTCACAATACTATAATGCACATGCTACATGCACATAACATTACTGGCATGGGCCTAGGTGGAAGATAATATACATAATTAAATAATAATAAGCTGATCTGACCTGTGTTGTTGTTGTTTGTTTTCTTTTCAGGTTCGTACACTCCTACAAGAGGTATACCAGAAGTTATTCACAGAATCTCCCAGTTTATAACATGGCGAGACAAGGGCGCAGCATCCAATCCAGAGAACATATACCTGACGCCAGGCTCACAGTGGGCTCTGGAGGTAACGGCTGAAATATGAACGCTCAATCTCTTTGTTCTTCAAACCAATCCTATGTTTATCCACTGTCTCTCTCTGCCTTCACTAGAACATCTTGAAGATCCTTGTTAACAGACTTGCATCACCTGGAACAGGGATTCTAACTCCAGTTCCATGCTACAGCACTTCTATTTTATCCATGAATCTACTGGGGGCCATTCTGGTGCCTTATTATCTGGATGAGGAAAATGGCTGGGAGCTTCATGTCCAGGAGCTTCACCGAGCTTTGGCATCTGCTAAAGGAGTGTGTAACCCCCGGGCTGTGTACATCATCAACCCCGGAAATCCAGTAGGTGGGTGATAAAAACTGGGTTGTTTTTTTAATGCATATATAATAATACACATGGTTACCTATGGCTATGTTTTTAATCAACTTACAGGTCAGGTTCAAAGCAAGAAATCAATGCAAGAGGTGATCCAGTTTGTTTATGAGAAGAGGCTCATCCTGCTAGCTGATGAGGTAAGAATAAAGTCTTTAAAAAAAATTCCTCAAAAAAAAAAAATTCTTTAAATTCTTAATTCTTCAGGATTGCGCACATGAGACAAAGCAGCACGAGGCATCCGACTCTTGACTTACTCTTATTAATTACATCTCTTTTCCCTCCCGTAGGTTTACCAGGATTCCATTTATACGGGAAACAGTACGTTTTACTCCTACAGAAAAGTCCTGTCAGAGATGGGACCTCCTTTTTCAGACACAGTGGAACTGGCCTCTTTTCACTCAGTGTCCAAAGGTTTCATAGGAGAGTAAGTTCCTGCATCAGTTGATTTACTACTATGTAGTACGAGATTTTCACCAATGATTACAACAATGTTCAACACACAGAACCTACTCTACTGTCATTCATTATCATATTGCAAATTATAATGTATGGAAATGTAGTATAGTATTTTGTGTCTATTTTCACCCGTGTCCTCCTTTAGTAACCATATTTTTCATAGCGGTGAGTAACCACAGTAGAATAGATTATAGCTACAACAGCAGTCAAAGCCAGTACCTGATTAGCATTAGCAATGCTACAGTGCAACATTTGGAATTCCTCCCAAGCGTTTCAGCATTTTCTCACTATCAGCATGTACAGACAGTTATTAAACATACAGTAGTGTGGTGAGTGACACATACGTTGACACAAGACCTTCCGCAGGAGATAATGCCAATCTCAAAAGTCCTAGACTTTTTTTTCTAAATTCCTTCAGGTGTGGTCTACGTTGTGGATATGTGGAGCTGGTAAATCTGGACCCGTCCCTTAAAGACTACATTTACAAATTGTTTTCAAAAGACAGCTGTGCCCCTGTACTGGGTCAGATTGCCATGGATTTAATGACCAACCCTCCACAACCTGGAGATCCCTCATACTCTCTTTATGAAGCAGTGAGTACAGAGACGCACTCTCCAGTTTACAGCAGTAGCCTTATTAGCCTACGCACACTGACGTACATGTTCACTGCTCGTTTGCAGGAGATCCGAGCAATTAGAGATACGGTGACTGATAATGTCAAGAGAGCCTCTGCGGTTTTCAACAGTTTGCCTTGTGTTTCCCATCATCCAGTCAATGGAGGAGCATTTCTATTTCCCAAAATTGACCTCCCAACCAAAGCTGTTCAGAAAGCAAAGGTTGTAAAACTCAACAAACACCAGCAGGCATACATTGTACAGCAGCGTTAATGTGACATCTGTTGTTGTTCAAGGAAGAAAACTTGGAGCCAGACACATTCTACTGTTACCGACTACTGGAAGAGACTGGCGTGTACGCCTGTCCCGGTTCAGAGTACGGACAGGCAGCAGGAAGCCACCACATCAGGTGAAAAACAACAGCCTAACTAAATTATTTTTTACTTTTTTTAAAAAAAGTAATGACTTAGATTATTATTATTCTATCATTTCAGGGTTTGTACCTTGATATCTCGGGATGTCATGGAGGAACTACTGACCCGCCTGTCAAGCTTTCACAGACGTTTCATGAAGAATCTTTCTTAAACACCGTGATGTAACAAAATAGCTAAGCTAAACATTAGCAACACTGATTCAGAGAAAAGTACAAATTTATTACCAATAAATATTAACTTTAATGGTAATTAAAATGACCTGATCAGTCATCTGTCCTGTCTTGACATGTTAAGTAAGAGTAAAATCTTCTTTCTGCCTTACAGGAATTAAATAATCAACAAACAATATTTTAAATCCAAAATAAAACTGGATCTTGTTCAACTCAGTTCATTACTGACACAAAGACAACATCTGAAATGTTAACCCTGGTCAAAGTGCCTTGTAAGACCAACCGTTCTGGAAACTTAATGACTGAGTTCCAGTGTTCAGTCTACCTCGGTGTCACTGTCATTGTACTGAGCGAGTGGGTTTGAGTCTGTATTGTTGAGCAGTTCAACGAGTAAGGAGATGAGCTGTCCATCTTGACTTGAGTGTGCGATGGTGTTGTCTGGATTGCTGAGGTTTCGATGCAGCATGGCCTGAATGGATGTACGGAGTTCCCAGAGCAGTTCCCACGAGTCGGTCGACAGCTCACAATGCACCAGAGAGCGGCCGGGAAATGTCACTTCAACTCTGTCTTGACAAACTGAAGCATGAGAAAATAATTACATTTTGGATTTGTAAGCTCTTAGAACAGACTTAACTTTAATGACTTACATAATAAAGGCATGTGAGATTGCAACATGTTTGTACTGTTCAGCCAAAATCTCAACAGCAGGGGGCAGTAGGTATTGCACTATTGCAATCATTTACCTGTCTCTCTGATGTCACTATCTGTGAGCAGCAACAGGGCGAGAGGGTGAACCACAGAAGAATCTCTGACAAAAACAGTGTCATTTGACTTGACTGCACTAAAAAAGGTCAGCCAGCGACTCGGAAAGCTGGATTTCCCTCTGTAAAAAGAAATAGAATCAACATTTGTATACACATACAGGAGGGTATTATTACATATACAGGGTTTCACCAGCTCACACCTGTTGACTGACGTCTGGTGAAGCAGCACTGGTCCATTGACTGTGCGGAAATTTACAGTGTTGGGCCGGAAACGTCCGTTTTTCACCAACCCTTTCTTTACCTTAAGGACAACAGAATGTAAATATCCATCCATGAGTGATGTAAAAATAGAAATAAGAGAAGGTCATCACTAAGTACCTACTGCAATAATGTGTAAAGCCATGTTCCACATACCTTAATGAGGTTTGGATAAAGTCCAGCCAACAGCACGGCTTTGAGAAGCTCATCCTCGTTGCTGTGTTGATTGAAGACAGAAACCTGTTGCATGCAGTCGTTGCTGTGACGCACCAGCTCAGCCTCTTTCAGGTTGTCGCTAAACTGATTAATCAGACCTGTGGCATCAAGAGAGAAAAACCAACAGTGTGAGAGGCAGCTGTGGCACTACTGTTTCTGTTACTATTTGAAGTACTGAAAACATTAGAATATCCTAATATACTTTACTGTATGGGCTGGATCCTGTCCATGAGCCAGGGTTGGAATAGGTCAGATACATAATGACCAAGTTTTGACTAACTATTTGACTAACTATGTTAATTTATTAGCAAAACTAACATTTTATTCCAGTGTAATAATACACAATAATACACTGCCTTAAAAATAAAATACTGCTTTAGATTTAGCTTTTTATTGACACCTAATGCATAGGTCTCATAGAAGTAATCGAACAAAGTAAGAAGACTGAAGCTAGTCTGTTTTCATCAGAAGCTAGGTCTTCAAACTAACCGTTGATGAAGCGAAGGCTGTTCCTGGACAAAGTAAAGTCTTCCAGATAGTTGTCTCTGTGTTCTCTGGAGTCCTGTTGTACTTTCCTCCAGCCTAAAACTGCTCTGCTGAAGGCCAAATAATCACTGTAGCTGGAACCATTTAAAGCATTTTTGGCCTTGGCGAGACAAAGAAAAGACCATTGAGGGACAACCAGTCAGGTCAACATATAACATGTGACAATGTTGCAGATAAAACGATGCAAAAACATCAACAGGTTTTAATACTCACTTGTTTCACGCGTGATCTGTTCACCAGGCTGTTGTAGAAGGGGTCTCTGGTTAGACAGGCCACTATGGACAACATGGGTAGAACACACCTGAAGAGGGCGCTAAGCACCAGTATTTTGCCCAGCCGAGGGTCACATGCAATGCAGGAAACACGCTCCCCTAAAGGCGTTAGGGTTTCTGTCTTGTCAAGAACACCTGCCAAATTTAAACAAACAAAATGATTTCAATTTTATCAAGCGATGTAATGATGATGGAATGGTGAAAACATTTTTTTTTAAATTACTAAATGCTGGTCTCTCACCAATGTCTTGTAGATTTCGGACAGCATCCTGTATAGCTGTAAGTTCTGGACTCTCCAATACTTGGGATAGAAAATCTTCAGCCTCAACAAATAAACACCAAAACAAGCAGTTTTAAATGTTAGAATTCAACAACATATGTTGCATGAAAGATTTTTTTGCTGGTCATTACCTTGCAGTCAGGACTGTGGATTTTGGCCTGCATTACTAAACTCTCCAGTGGGGTGCGGAGGATCTCAGGAATTGAAAACTGAGGCATGGACTCCAACTGCTTCCTTGGAAACAGATGATAAGACTGTCCTGCCTGACATCGTCCTGCTCTCCCTTTTCTCTGAGTGACGTTGGCGCGAGATATCCAAACTGTGTCCAGACAGGAGACCTAGAAAAGACAGAAATTCAATATGAATGTTATTCACAGAACTTCATCAAACAACAATGTGATTTAAGGTCGCTGACAATTAACCTTTGTCCGCGGGTCATAACTATGTTCTTTGTGAGTTCCTGCATCAACCACATGGACAACGTCATCTATGGTGATGGAGGTCTCAGCAATATTAGTGGAGAGCACAATCTTTCTTTGGCCCACTTGAGGGCGCTGGAATACAGTCTGCTGGTCAGCCACTGATAAACTGGAATGCACTAAAAAGAAACAGAAGAAAATATTTCGGTTAATTTTGATGACTGAAAATACATTGTCAAAGAATATTTTTTCAGTGCTTTTACATGGCAGGATCATCTGTGAGCCTCTCAAAAACTGAGGTTTCTCTTTAAGTTTTTCTTCAACTGTTCGGATTTCCTGCCATCCAGGAAGGAAACACAGGATAGCACCTGGAGGACAGGGAAAAGGAAAAAAAATAGTGTTAAGATGTAAAATGAAAACCATTACCTTAAAACAAGTTATTTCAATAAAGAAAAAAAAAGTGTTAGTCACCAGGCTGCCCTTGTTGATCAACGTACGCGATGACGTCTGCAACCAAATCTAGATCAGGTCTAACCTCATCTACGCCTCCCTGAAGAATAAAATATCAATTGACTCGTCACAACATCATATTAAAATATTGAACCAAAAAAGTTTTTGAAAAAACAAAACAAAAACCTTATTATTCTCCTCCATCTTTGGCTGTGGACGTCCCATCTCTCTCAGCACATCTTCCAGGTACTTGTCTTTAACAGAATACATAAACCCAGGAACTTTAACGATTGGACAGCCTCCGAAGTACTTAGCCAGCCTCTCGTTTTCTCCAGTAGCGCTCATGAGCACCACTCGAAGGTGGGGATTCTCCTTAAGGCTGGAGCGCAGTAAAGCCAGCAGCAGGTCAGTGTTGATGTCTCTCTCATGGACCTCGTCCACCACAACGTGGCTGATTCCTAGCAGGGATGGATTGGACTGTAGTTTCTTCAGGAGAACTCCGACAGTGAGGAAGAGTAAAGCTCCACCACTGTGTTCTGGGGGCCGGCTCTCTAGTCTCACCTATGCTCCGAGAAGAGACATTTCTTTAGTTAAAATAAAAACAATAACGGAAATAAAGAAAATGCAAAAGTTCTTGGTTTCCTTACAGCTAATAGCTTACTATCCCTCTCAGAGATGGTGCTATGAAAGCACTCAATGGGACTGAATGAACCATTAAAGCCATTTTTACCTGATATCCCACACAGTTTTTCAGAGTTGGGCCCATCTCATGAGCAACACGATGAGCCACAGACACGGCACTGATCCTACGTGGCTGGGTCACCAGGATGTTGCATTCGGCTCCTTGTCCCCTTCTAACAGAGTCCTCCAGCAGAAATCGGGGAATCCGAGTAGTTTTGCCGCATCCCGTTTCTCCAGCGATTACTACCACCCTAGACGACTGTATAATGGAGACTACTCGCTGACGGTGGCCATCGACTGGAAGCTCCAAACTGATCTGGGGATTGGCCCTCTCCCATTCCTCTTGCAGGTAAACGTTGAGCTGTTCAGCATCCTTTTTTGATAAAGGTCTATATGGTCGGCCAGTGATGGCGTCTGTCAAAGCGTCCTCCTCATCCTCAAGTTCCTGGTTCAGTGCCCTCTGTGCTTTTTCTTCTTCTTCCTCCCAGAGCTTCTTTACTTCTGTTGCCACTGGATACTGTTTGAAAGATTTGGTTTAGATTTCAAATAAAACACATTTTTTTAATACCTGAATAAGCACTTCAGCTCAAGCTTTTAACATTAACATCAAGTACTTCTTCTCACCTTTGCGAGATACTGCTTTATTTGACTCTCCAAGTTTTTGGGTATTTCTAGAGGAATGGGCCGTTTCTCCCTCTCTCCAGCCTCCCTCACTTTCTCCTTGTGGTACTCAGCGTGTGTCAAAGGATTATTGTTTTTATCAAGGAGTTGCAGCTCCTATAGCAGATGATACATTTTAGTTATGTTTAATCAGGTCTAAAGTGTGTGAAACTAGAGGTCAATTTTCCATCTCACCTTCAGTTTCATGCAAGCAAGAGCTGCGGCTCGCTTCTCTGCCACTCGTCTGCTTGATGCTTCAGCTGTGAAGATCATTTCCTCAGGCCAGCAAAGAGTCAGATCACACCTCTTCACCCTGTTTCCTGATGTCCTAATACTTAGTAGCTCCTGTAACGACAAGTACATTTAAGCCCAAAGCTGTTTCTTGTATGTAACCCAGCTATTACTCCTCAAGAGATAAGACACATATTAAAACGAGCATAAAAACATCCAAAGCCAAATGTGTTATTTTATATGTATTCAAATTTAAATAATAGCTAATAACCCTGGTTTTGGAAGAGGATGTGGCCAGCTGGATGACTCTATCTAACAAGGATTTGGGATGTGGAAAGAGGGCGACAGCCTCAGCAACATGCGAGTCCACTTCAGAGGTTAGGAGCTGCTGTGTCTGAACATCAGCTCTGGCCCCAGCCACGTGATTTGTCCAAGAACCGTCCTCGTGCTCATCATAAAAAGTTGATCGTAGTCTTCCTCTACCCTGGTCAGCTCTTCTCCTGACAACCTGATTGTTTGAACTAATCAAACCCATTTCCTGTGCACAAAAAGGGAATGCTAGTCAGAGAGGAAGTTAATCAATACAGCAATTAAAATATTGAGATATTCCATCCAGAGCAAAACCTTACTCTGAGCTTGAGGCATGCAGCAGCTGCAGCAAATTGCTCTGCTTTGAGCTTCTTTGTGTCATATCCCACCTCTTCAATCTCACAGGGCCAAAACAGTTTAACAGTAGCTTTCTACAAAAACAACACAAACATACCAGTGAAACATTTTGTATATTTTTTAAACACTTCTAAAGCACTGTAAGTTTTGTTCATACCTTAACGCCATTATGCTCACAGTTGGTGTACTGGATGAACTGGGAAATATCATTTTTTCCCAGTGCCTGAGACAAGGTCTTATGCAGCAAATGTTTGGGTTCTGGAAACTCTTTCAGAAGATCTCGGTTGTAGTCTAAACAGGAAAAAAACAACTCAGATGTGCTACAACTGCGGAGACGTTGTTAAGTTAGTTAAGTTAAATAACATTTTATACACAACCATAGGGAAAGGTTGTTGATTTTGGTTTGCATCAGAACAGTGAATTTACTGATCAATGTTCTCGTTTTTATTTTTACCATCAGCAGTCCTGGTTATAAAAAAACGTCTCTTCGGTGATGTTTAAAATATAAATTTGCTGTGATTCACTTTATAATTAAATACTTCAGCTTTCTGTCTTTTTAAATCATTTCAGGATGGATGTCCTTGAGGATGTACATTACTGGGATGCATGTCATCTTTTAGCATGTTAGCTTACAGAGCTAACCTTTACTCACACTTTTTATTCTTCAAATACGATTCCTCCGGCTCAACCCTCCCGAATTTCGTTGAATACCATCGCATTTCTCTACTTAAATTGTTAACGTGTTTTCCTCTAAAATAAACCGATTTGAGGACTTTCGTGAGCCCTCTGAGACTCATGAGTGATACACCGGGCGCCGCCATATTTAATTTTAAGATCTCTTCTTCTGTTGAACGGAAGTGGAGAGCAAACAATTTTCACAGCGACACATGTGGCGAAAAGGAAAATATACTGTTAATTGAATTTAAATAAAAACATATAAAAACATTAGATGGGTATAAAAGACAGCTGGTGACTAGTCTAACCATTATTTTTTCAATTTATTAATTAATCAATTCGTTTTTTAAAATTTGTATTTTATGTAAAAAATATAAATATTTAAATTGAAAAATGTAAATTTAGCAGTGGTACTGTTAATAGTGCACATTTTAAAAATATTTCACATATATTTACATAATGAACACGGTGGAGAATTAAATAGTTAGTGAAAACAAACTTAAACCCTTTAATGTTCATTCTTTATTTTAAAGGTCCTGGTAGATGAGCTGTAGTAGTCAAAAACAAAGCTTCACTGGGCAATTCTATAATATTTATATAATTAATAAATATATTTAAAGAATCTCTAGAGTCTTTGTTTCGAGTTCCCTTATGTACTGTGCATTTGCTGCTTGAAGGATTATTTTTGAATAATAACACCTTCTTTTTTTTTTTTAGTTGCAGCAAAACTGACACCTGGTGTGTGCGTGCAACCTTCCCAGGCCTTGTTTGGACTATTGCCGATAAATAGCAGTGTAGTTTCCATCTGATTTGGACTTGGAAATGGAACTGGTATTTGCTCTACTGCTAGCAGTCACAACTGGTGGGTTCATGTTAGACACAGAGTATATATATATATATATAATCATTTTGATATGTTTGCGTGTCATACTGCATCATAGTGTCTGGGTGTGGCGTTCCCACCTACTATCCCAGCCTCAGACGTGTTGTTAATGGAGAGGAAGCTCGTCCCTACAGTTGGCCATGGCAGGTGAGTCCAGTGAACATAATTGTGTTTAATAATGTTTTTTTGACATCAATCTTTTCATTAAATGATCAGGGACTTCAATTTCTATTGACCTGTAGGCCTCTCTGGAGTCTTTTTTCCCTACTTGTGGTGCAACACTAATTGCTCCCAACTGGCTCCTCACTGCTGCACACTGCCTGACGTGAGGACATTTTTTTGTCATATAGAAAGTTTAAAGTCTGCAACTGTATGTGGTTTTCTTAAAAATGTTCCACATTGTTTGAGGGTTATGTTGTGATAACCTTTTTGAAACTACATTTCACATTTCTTTCTTTCTGAAATTCCAGATTCCACACATACAGGGTGGTTCTGGCTGAACATGACATGAACAAGGAAGAGGGACCTGAACAGTCCATCAGGGTGAAAGAAATGTTCATTCACCACAAATGGAACAGAAACTGTGTGTCATGTGGGTACGTGTCAATAGTGATCTAAATTCCTAGATTTACTTGAGTTATTGGAGTTGTCAATAATTACTTATGTTTTGTAAAAAAAAAAGAAGCAAACAACCTTTATAAAGGAGACACAATATTTCAAATGTCTTGAATCTTTTTTGATTTTGTTACATAGGAATGACATTGCACTGGTTCAACTGGAAAAAAATGCCATTATCAATGATAAGGTCCAGACTGCTTGTCTGCCCCGACATGGTTCTGTTCTTGCCCACAACCAGCCCTGTTATGTGACAGGCTGGGGACGTCTCTACAGTAAGACATGCAGCAAGTCAAGTCTTTTAACTGCAGCATTTGCTGGGTCAAACCAACAAAAACATATCTAATATTTCTTTCAGCTGGAGGCCCACAGGTAACCAAACTGCAGCAGGCCCTACTTCCTGTGGTGGAGCACAGTATCTGCGAACAAAATGACTGGTGGGGCAGCTCAGCCAAGACAACGATGGTGTGTGCAGGAGGAGACAGCAAGTCAGCGTGCCATGTAAGGATAGACCTGGAAGCAATATGCTAAAGAAAATACCCAAAATATAATGATCTAATGCTGTAAAGGTCATCATTTTCTAGGGCGACTCAGGCGGTCCTCTGAACTGTAAAGGCAGAGATGGAAAATGGTACATTGAAGGAGTAACTAGTTTTGTGGATGGACGTGGGTGTAATACCCCCCAAAAGCCCACAGTCTTTACCCGTGTTGCCTCTTTCATCCCCTGGATCAACGAGGTGAGGAGAAAACCAAAAACTGAAGAGAATGCAGCATCTTTGACCTGCACAAATGTTAAATGTATCCACTCTCTGCAGGTCATGGCCAAACACTGAAGGTATTACTGAACAATAAAGTATGTATAAAATGATAGAACTACATTTCATTTCATTTCATTGAACACACACATTATACACATTTAGAAAATGTAATTTTTTTACAGACCCGTGTTATTTGATTAAGTCTTTTGACTTGAACTGTAACTTAGTCTTTGCCCCAGTTTTGTCAGTGAACTGTTTAATTTATTTTATTTAAATTTTAAAGTATCAAAATCTTTGAAAAAAGACCTTGTCCTAAACAGGACATTGTACAAACAGGACTAGTATAAACTTTTTTAATGAAGAAATTATTTATCCTGTGTTTAGAGCAAACCGTCCACTTTTTAATGCATTGGCAATACATGCTAAACAGAAAGTTACTGTAAATTGTCGTAATCCAGAACAATCTTTTTAAACTTTTAATTGTGACAGAATATAAACAACTGCAATATTATTGCCCTGTTGTGAATTTGTATTTTGGTCTATGATAAAGAAAATGAACCACAACTGTTTATTTTCAAAGAAGGGTAAAATATTGTGAATTGTAAAGCATGTCATTGGACACTTAAGACTCTGGAGGTGACCATGTAAAGAAGTCCACATCCCGCAGCTCCTCGGGTAAGTACTCCTGCTCCACAGGGCCACTGAAAGCTGGATTATATTTGTAACCTTTAGCATAACCCAACTGCTTCATCAACTGTGTGGGGGCGTTGCGGAGGTGCAGCGGAACAGAGGGCAGGGGTCCTTTGTGGTTCCTTAAACAGGCTTTAACATTATTATAGGCCTTGTAGATTTCCACGGACTTTGGCGCTTGAGCCATGTACACCACACACTGAGCCAGGATCACCTGGTGAACAGCAGATGTGTAGATGACTTAGAAAGATCATGGCATTTCAATACTGCTTTATAGCAACATGAGTTGGCCAACGTGGGTCATTACCTCACATTCAGGCATCCCAATGAAGTGACAGGCTTGGAAGGCAGACACAGCCTGAGGAAGAGCAGCTGGATCAGATAAGCCTGAGGAAGACAAAAGGCATTCTGCATAAATTACAAAACAAAAAAACAAATAAACTATCATTTAAAATGATAACTAACCCTCAATTCACTGTTATAGCAGCAAGAATGGTCAGAAATTCTAAGTAACAAAACTGCAGCAATTGGTTTTCTCAGTTCATTTTGGTTCATCATACTGGATAAATGAAGGAAATGAATTTAAAAAATGTATGATAGAGCCATTACACACACTGTACCTATATCCTCACTGGCAAAACGGACCAGTCTGCGAGCCACATAGAGTGGATCCTCCCCGCCCTCCAGCATACGGCCCAGCCAGTACAGAGAAGCGTTCACATGTGAGCCTCTCATTGACTTATGCAATGCTGAGATACAGTTATAATGCTCCTCACCTTTGGGGAACGCAGACACATGGATGAAAAAAAACCCAAATCAAAACAGAATCTTTATCAGGTGTCAGTGCAGAACACATTTTTCTAAAACAAACATTCCACATAGATGACCTTATTCCACAATGATGGAGTTAGTAAAGAAAAAAAAGAGTTTGTTATGTGAAACTGTAGTGAAAGCCCATTAGTCAAGCTTAAGGGTTTTTTTCATCGCCCTTTGGACCGGGGAACAGCAAATCTTAATCTCTTGGGACAGCTGTGTTATGTAACTGGACAGTCCGTGTGTGCACATGCATACGGAAACGCACACACGTGCACATCCATGGCTACAATTAGCTACAAACACTGTTATAATTCTAAGCTATATAACTTTTTATTTATCATTTAATGCGTGTCATAAAAAAGATCTCTGTTAGTGTCAAACATGACTTTAATTAAAAATAATCCTTACTTGTGTTTATATATGTTGAATAGAAAACATATAGAACTTTGTTGGTTTCTATTTATTTACCATCTGGATTACTGTACAGAATGACTGTGACAAACTGAAACAATGTCTGTATCGGGCTTACCGGCTTTGTCATAGAGAATGTGAGACCTCTGGAGACCTTCCTTGACATGATCCTCCTTAACGACTATTTTCTGGAGAGATCCGTGCTGTGATGGCATTCTGGATCGACACAAGTTCACTTGAGCCTGGACGGCAAGCTGCAAACTATTCAGGCCTGCTCGTGCATCACCGTCACAGAGGTAGGCTATGGTGTCCAAGGCCTTCTGCTCAATGTAAACATTTGTCCTGAAACAAGGCCATTTTACAATTTTACAATCAAGATACATTTACAGGTAAAATCAAGGGTTCAGCACATCAGTGACTGCTTACTTTTGTTCATCTGTTTGGTCTAGATTTTTGGAATTTTCCTGATCTCGTTCCAGGACTTTGATCCCTAGTGTAGTCAAGGCTCTGTCCAGGATGGCACCCATCGAATCCACAGAGAGCTTGTGCAGTACCAGCACCCTGCATCTGCTCAACAGGGCAGCATTCACCTGGAACGATGGATTCTCAGTGGTCGCGCCAATCAGTGTTATTGTCCCGCACTCCACATGGGGGAGGAAGGTGTCCTGCAGACACAATTAAACAACAGATTACATGAAATGTAGACAAACATCATCATAGGGGAGATCAAATTTAAAGATTAAAATCTAAATATATTCTATTCATCAGAATATGTTCTGACCAATCTGGGTATTTACATCTTTTATCTATTTTAATGTTGCTATTTTTTTTAAACTGTGTAAACAATGTGGAAGTCTGTGATTTTATGTCGACAATGGACAAACAGTAGACCTAAATATAAATGTACAATGTTATTAGTGTACTGTCAGAGTACTTCACCTGCTGGGATTTGTTGAAGCGGTGAATTTCATCAATGAACAGGATGGTCCTCCTCTTACACAGTCGGAGTTCATTCTGAGCCTGTTTGATCACCTCACGGACTTCGTTTGTCGATGTGCTGGTCGCGGACAGCTTGACAAATCGGGCAGTGCCATTCTTTTTACTGGTGCTGGCAATGATGTTAGCAAGGGTGGTCTGAAACACATGATGCATTGAAAAAAAAACAAACAAAAAAAACAATTATAACTGAAAATTAAAATTAAAAAAGAAAACATATGCTCATTTAGCTTCGACATGCATTTGCCTTTAGAAGAATAAGGATAACTTCAATCATTTGCTTTGAAAACCCTATTATTCTTGTTTCGTGTAAATCCAATGGACCAACAACACTGTTAAATTAATTCCTACACTTGAAAGCTGCCAGATAACTGAGAGATGTAGTTATAGAGTAAGTATGAAGATGGCATGTTGATGAAGTCCAAGAATGGTGAGCTGCTCTGTAACAATCCCTGCTGGCAGCCTCTCATATTTAAGAATTCTATTTTGGGTTCTGAGCATCAGCCTGTCAGCAGAAGGCTGTTTTATTAATGTATAAACTAGCACATCATCATATGATAATAAAAAAAAGCCATAAATGCTGGTTAAATAGTTCAGTATGAAATATCTTGAGTACTGCAGAGCAATTTTATTATTTTAAAATAAAATAATATTCAGAATTATTATTAATGATAGCACGAAGGGTGCTATTTGCAGTACCTGTGTTCTGTTTTCTTTACCCTGTCTGTACCCTGTGTCTACTTTCACTCAATTTCTGTCCAGTGGTACCTTTAAGAAAAATATGAAACGTCAGGGAAATCTTCACTGATGGGAAATATAATTTTCTATCGTTATTTGCTAACTGGGCTACTATTACTACAACCAAAGCATACACAATAGCTATCTGTGCTGCTGTCTCACCTTACCACATCCTGGAGGGCCCCACAAGATAAGTGAAGGTATATCCTGTGTGTCCAGAAGTGAGCGGATAAGCGTTTGCTCTCCTATGACCTTACTTTGACCAAAGTATTCGTCCAGCGAGTTTGGCCGCAGCATCTCGGCCAAAGGTTTGTCCAAAGTCAGCAGTGATCGCAGCGATAAACCAGGCCTCTGTCCAACAGATACAGCTGTTGGATTCTTCACGGTCTCTTCTCCAGAAGGTCCAGGTTCGGCCGCTTCATCCAGCTGGTCTACACCGCGTTTAATCCCCTTACTGACCTTAGTGGCTGTGGCTGCTGCTGCTGCTTGCTTGTTGGAAAGTGAACCATTATTTAGTGGTGATTTGTTTTTATTATTGTTAAATAGCGAAAACATCGTAGGGCCAGTGGTATTGTTGACACATGGGCTGCGCGGAGCCTCTGCATCACCGTTTCGTCTGAACCTCTGTTTCTTCTCCGGGGGTCCGCTGTCAACAGAAGGGGACTGATCGCTGTCCACCGCCCCGACTATAAGTAGACACTCGTCCAGGTGTCCGTTTATTTCAGCCGGTCCAAAGTTTTTAAAACAGACGGGACACTGCACGCACTCCACTGCTGTGAGAGTCATGGGGTCCGCCATGATTATTTCCCGCGAAACCTTACACGTGAACAAATCACGTGACCATAACAAGTTCCACAGCCGTTTTTTTTCACATTACACCGAATTCTTTTTTTAAATGCTATATGTTGATATTATAGTTACCCAAACACAAATACATTCATAAATACATTTAAAATGAACAATTTATTTTATAAAGATTGACGCACCTCCCGTGGTGCGTTTACGTATCGAGAAGACCGTCCGACACAACAGCTTTCATCGCATATTTATTTATTTTCCTTTTTTTTTACATGAAAAGCAAAGATAAATCTAATCAGAAAATATACATTAGTGTTTATAGTATGTATACGTACATACGTTTTTTATCTTACCAGAAACTTAAAATTATACTCTGTATCCAGTATCTGGCTTGAGGGCCAACGGTGGCACTTATGGCTTTTTATAAAATGTTTCTGCTCTACAATGTAATAGAAGGTTGAATATATTCTTGTAAATGTTAATTACTAGTATTGTTGGATGAGAAACATGTTTTATTATAAAAGTTAAAACTCTCTAACATTATTATAATATTCAGCATTTTTGAGTAAATTTAGAGGATGGTAATGTCGATAACATTTAAAAATGTGTATAATATTTTCAAGTGGTGCCTGCTGCTTTTCGTTTACCATATTTTATTGTCATTCACCAGGCTGTATTCTCTCAAGCTCTGTGATGCAGCCAAAAGAAACACATTACCTGACGTCACCCGGACTGGAAAGACTGAGAAGAACTCAGACAGAGGGGGGCCTGGGGCCAAGTGTAAAAGTAAAAGGGAGAATGACAAAGTTGAAGTAACCTCGTTGGTTTGCCAACAGAGGAAACACGACCAAGTTGGCTTTATTCCCCCACTTGAGAAGGTGAAAACGATGAACTGCTTCTGGGAAATGAATCAGAAGAATTCATACAGTAAAATAATTACAACGAAGATACTTTGCATAAAATATCGAAGCGTTATCACATGTCTGACTGTCTACAAGATCACCAGCAGAGGGTATTAACTCTTCTTCAACTAGTGTGGCAAATGTTGCAACATTTGATGTAAATAGTGACGTTATATTTGGTTTGAAATACGAAAAGACCGCAGTGGTGAGCTCATACATAAGAAGAAAATCCTCATTTGGATTTTTATTTATTTTAAATAGTAAATCAATGTGTGTTTTAACCTTACACACTATGTGTAATGTTGTAAGGCACATGTAGTACCACTGGGCTCACCTTAAAAACTCCATAAAAGCCTTTCCATATGTACTTTTTAGTCATTGACAGTAAAATGTAACATGACAAAGTAGTTTGTGTAAAACATAACTTTGTCTGGCATTCAATTAGCTTCACGTTGTACTTGACGCATTAGCAGTCCACAGAAAAGCACATTGAAATATTGCATGTAATTGAAGAGCAGCACGGGGGCAGCCAACTGAATAATTTGAGCCCAGGGAACTCATTACAGTGTTTGGCAGTGCCAGTCGTGAATTTAGAGTAACAGACTGGTTAGATTCCCACTTGTTGCACATAGCTGTGACAGTCTACATGATGTAACATCAACCTTGTGGCCGTATGGATTCAAAAGTAATGGTTACATAATATGTAGAAAGTACAGCTGTGAAAATAAGCCCATGGGACTCCCAATTACTTTTATTTTAATTAATTGCAAAAAATAAAACATACTAATGAAGATTTTTTTTGCTTATAAACTTGATTTAGTGATCGAAGTTAATTAAGTTTGTATGTACAATAAAAGCTGATATGCGGTTGTCAGTGCTGAGACCGCAGGGTGTAAGCACCATGATAGCTGTTGTGACATTTGCAGCAGTAACTCAATAGTGCAGGCTATTTATTTACACTGCATCCAAGTGTATGTGTTGACACAGGAGACTTTTACCCCCCTCCCTCACAATTCTCTCAGTTTTCAATGTCATTGGAGATTAACTGTAGACTCGGGAGACCTTGGTTCAAACAGTACATTAACGTAGAGTATTATAAGAAAAAAAAATAATGTAGGAAAATAATCTCAATCTTAGGTGACGATAAGTGCTAAGACATGTGAGAGAAGGTATGTCTTTCTGACACCCTATGCTGGCACCTGTCCCTCCTTTGTCATAAGAGCAATTTGCTTGTCCAAGCAGTGCTAGCAGCAGGAGAGAGGAGGCTATGTCAATCTGCACCGGCTGCAGACGATAGAGTAGCATTCATGCTGGGGCAGTCCTCGTATCCAGGGAAGGAGCTGTCATCTCCTTAAACCGTTTATTCGAGACTCTTCGCCCTTTCTTATGAAAGGTCCTTTGTAGTTAAAGATAGAGAAGTGAAGAAGGATGAGGTGTAAAGTAAAAGCCATGGAGAAATTTGTCACTGGCGTGGACATGTGGCTCACCAGCGGCCTGTGTTTGGTTGCCTCCTATGTCTGGAAGTTGCTGCGTGATTTTCTTTCCTCTAAGGGGAGACGCACAGCATCTGATTCACCTGCCTTTCAGGTAAATACCCATGAATTATAAGAGGAAGCATTTATTATTGTCTTAAAAAACATACAATGACATTACAGGTACAGTGGTGTAGTGTACTGGTAGTTGCTGTAGCTGTTGATGTAACAATTTTCCAATTTTAATTGTGTCTGGACAAAAAAATATCAAAAGCTGTTTTGTTTTTTTCAGATTGTAATTTAAATATGGATTTTTTAAAAAAATGCATGAAAATTATTAATTCTGTGTGATATAAACGTGATGGTCTTTCGTGACGAATGAATTCGTTAGAATTTCTGTGCATACTTTAACGAATGATGTATTTTGTTTCTATGATTTGGGTGTCATTTTTTTTTCTGGCTAAATACATTTACTGCAGCGTAAGATAAAATATACCTGGTCACTGCATAGGTTTCCAAGTATTTTCCAAGTAACTGTTTTTCCAACACGCTTGTGTTTTCAATGCTAACATGTTGCTTTTTATGTCCTACATTTTTTTGGTGGTGGGATGTGTTTAACATATTGGTAATAAATCAAAAAGGCCACATATTTCAAATACAGGTCTAATAACTGAAGCACAATAAACACTGACATTGTGTGAGTGACAACCAGCTCCCAAGTCTTATTATTCTTGAATCAGGTTTCCTTTCACTTTTCTCTAATGTTTCTTTTAGTGGCAGAATTAAGTGCATACTTTACACTTCCTTTGCTGTTAATCCCCTGCAGTATATGATGAAGATTCTCACCAAAAGACTTACACACGCATGTGTGGTTTGCTTTTTTATGGTTGACACTTTAAAGAGAAGACGTCAACTTCAAAAAAACAAAACATGATATGAGGTATTTATGAGAAGTGAGTTAAGAAAACCAGCTGTAAAGTGACAGTCAGCTCCAGTTGTAAACCTTAACTAGGGTACACTGGTAACTCAATAGTTCTCCTTTTCCGCCATCTAGTGGATATTTTAGAAAGAACTGTACTGACAAAGCGATCTGGAATTGTACAAAAAAATTGGTTAATGCCAATTATTTTCCTAAATCTTCTTATTGATTTTTTTCGGCACATTAGACGCCACACGGTGGAATAGTGGTTAGTGATTTTTGCCTACAGCTATGTGCTCACTGATTCGAGCCTCCTTGTGTACATTGGTTCAAAAACATCAATTGTTCATCCTAAATTGAATTGGTGTGGATGTTGAAACCATGTTTGTTTTTTTCAAATGAACTAGACTCCAATCTTTTGTTTTATTCTTGCATCATAAGCTACATCTGGCAAGCAGGGCTTGTGTGAAACATGTTTTCTCCCCTTTTTCTTCCAAACAACAAAGTGCTTCAAAGACTCAGAACTCTTTCAGCTGAAGTAGAAATGTCCATACATCTCTGGCCATGCTGGTTCATGTCACTGGAGACATATTTTTGTAAATAGGTCTGCCACTTTCCGTGCAGGAAATCAAAGAATGCCTACCACAGTGGGGCCACAACCACCGTGGGGCCCATGGGTGTGCCATGTGGTGAATCACAGTATAAATCATGGTTTCAAGAAAGTACCAAGTTTCATTCTGAAATGTTTGATGTGTTCACGCTTCTGTTTACAATTTGAACAGTCATTCGTTTAGTTCAACCTTCTTAAGAAAAAGATGTGATTGTTCGCATTCAGGTGCAAGACTGAACGACAGTCTCCCACGTGGCAGACAGTAATATGCACTACATTACTGAAAAGAATATTTCCTTTTTTGAAGTATTCAATTTCTTTAAAAGAATACTTACAAAGAGGAATCAAATATTACCTCTAAATGTAGTTCACACCATTTTTGATGTTAGATTTTATACCAATATATCATTTACATTTAAGCAGAAAGTTCAGGAAAAATCCATTAATATAACATACATATCAAATACATACACTATACAAATGCAAATCATTTGAATTGTTGCAATAAAATATTTTTTGTTTTTGTTTAAAAAAAGGTCACATTATCAGTTGGTGTTGTAAAACACACCACTTCACTGTGTGCTGTATCTGCAGCACAATGATTATAAGTGCACACATTCTCTCCTTATCTGCTATGCACCGATGGTATGCCTCACACACAGGCTGGAGCCCTCTCACTGTCTCTTGTTTCCATTCCTCTCTTGGCGTTTGTGTTATCCACACTGACATTTACTGTAGAAGAGCCTCAAGTATGTGAGTACACTTTATTTTTTTTTAATTCCATCAGACCGCGTTAAAGACCTAAAAGCTGGACAATCATTTGACTGTAAACAGATTTTCTTTTGATGCTATTTTAGATCTAGATTTAGTTACAGTATTACAAAGGGGTAGATATTCATGTAAATAAAGAAAAAAATGCACATTAGGTTGGATTTAGTACAATCTACTGGCAAAAAAAATCCCTAAAACAATTGTAACTTTGTTTGCTTTTGTTCACCACTTGTTTTGGAAAAAGTTATTTTAATGTTACTGAAAATATCCTTAGACTCTTGTCGTTTATGTGGACCAGCTCCCACTCTGTGTAATGAGCAACGCTGATGAATGACGAATGAGCCACAGCTGTTTATAAGACTACTTTGTCTCTTAAATAATAAAAGAGCAGAGAAATATAAATAAAAATCGTACTGACTTTTAACACACAGTAATTGTCACAACTATCACATAACTGTTAAAAATGGACAGTGTCGAAATCATGGCAAAGACCAGTTGAACAAAAACTTGCGAAAATGATTATTAATTCCGTGCAAACTTCAAAGACAAGAATTCTTCAAAAATAAGAAATATAAAATAAGGAGTTCCTAGATGGAAACACTATTTGCAGAAGTGCTTGGACTTTAACTGTCAGACTGTAAATCTAATGGAATTGTTGTTATTATTTTATTTTCTATTTTTTTCCCTAATTTTTCCTAAAACGTTTTGACTCACCCTACATTCCATCCTGTAAATTCTAAAAGAAAACCTCGCTATTAAAATTTTAATTGCTAACAGTTTGTCCTATGACTTTTTGACTTATAATCTTATATGATAACCTTATATAAAGGGTCACTTTCATGTTAAATAACAACAGAAGGGCATTTAAAAAATCATCCTGTAAATTCACAGATTTAATTTTCATACTTAAAAGGCATCACATTTATTTGATAGTCATTTGAAAATGTACATATTACTTTCTAGATTAATCAAAAAAATTGTAAATAGTATCAGACATTCAACTGCTAATGTGACGGAAAATCTGTTAAAAGATGATTTCAAAAGGTTTGCACTTAGTTTCTGACCAGGAACCAAAAGAAATCAATGCACGTGCAGCGTCCCCAACATATAATTGTAAAGACAGCGTTGTGTTCGATTGTGCACGCTCATTTCAGCATCTGAATCACGAACATAATCGAATACATTTATAGAACCCTGCGAAAACAAACAGCCTGAATGTCTGCTGAAGTGCCACGGCCAAATGTGCGTACATGCCAGCAGAAAAGCTGAGATGACAGGGGAAGAACAGAAGAGATGTCTCAGACATTTGCACGCGGATTCAAGTTTCATGGCCGCCTCACACATTCAAGCCCGCAAGTTTCCAAGAGAAAGTATACCCAGAGCTGGCAGGCGGTGTTGTTGTGTGAGCGGAGCCAAGAGAGGTGACTGGACAGTAGCCACACCACACTGAGCCACGGCTTCCAGGACATTGTGTTCTCTGTCAATGAGGTGCTGCTCAATTGTGAACAATTCACCTTCTCCCAAGACGTCAAGCGAATTAGCCTATGAGTGAGAGCCACGCAGGTTCGACAATTAAAATGAACCCCCACATGTATACACACTTAAAATAAACATTCATTCAAAGCGGCCGGTCATCTAATCTGGTCTATTTTTAGCAGTAGCAGACAGTAAGGCTGAACATTAAGATATTTGAAAACATGGAGAGTCAAAAATATCCAGGCCTGTGAATCTGGTTGTTGTTAGTAACGGCATATTTTACTTATCTGGTTTAGTGTCTGTCGAAACGAATGACTTACATGTTCTTCTTACAGAGATCTAAGGCCATAATAGCTAATGAGAAACAGTATCTGGTAAAATGATTCAACCAAAAAATATGGTAGATTTAGAGTCGTGTTAAATTTGTCTGCACCGTAAGAAGACTTAGCCGACATGTTAAATTGTTGATGGGTTGTTGCTGACGTATTAGCTGTTGTGCAGAACTGCTTATAGCTCATGTGGTTATGAAGAACACCTGAACATAACATTTGTGGCTGTGTAACCTGCTTGCTAACTGCTAAATTAGCAAGTAGTGACTTTCTCTAAAGCCCATAGTGTACAAAGCAATAATTTGTGATTGATTTGTACACTATGTGGTTGGACTTCTCATACTTCTCAGTTAAGCTGTACAGTATGTGCTGTGAGATTTTTTGTTACTTCCTGCTGCCGTAGTCTTTCAAGTATGTGTCTTTTACTAATTCAAGTCAAAATGAAGGATTTCTTTTGAATATAACTTTTATGAGTAAAGAAACACTACACGTTTCTTGCAAAACACTTCCTCTGCCACACAAATTGACACAACACACTGCAAATGCCCTACGCCGTCTATCATCTGTTGGTATCCAGAGACAGGTGTCTTCCTTCCAGTCTCTCTGACTGGTTGACGTTGAGACGCACTCCCATCTGTTTCTGCCCCGTCAGTCACTTGTTCTTTATACTGTAACCGTTTTACGTGTGTGAGTCCATTAGTAAAATAAAAATACAAAGGAATGCAATGAGTCAGTTTGTTCCTCACCCTTCACTGATGTAGGAAAGTTAGCCAAAGCTTTGCACTCTGCAGATTGTTTTTTTTTTTTAATACAACAGAGAGTTATGTGGAAGTTATGTGGAAGCGGCTACGACGACCTGCCGTGAAATATGAGCTGAAAAGTAAACTCTTCCCGTCTCTGCTTGTCTCTGCTTTATCTGCCAAGTTCACAACCACATCCTTCCTTGGTCACTGTAACTGTGAGCCCAGACTTTGTCCTCAGCCTCTGGGGTGAGGCGAGTTTTGCTGGGGTTACTGTGGCACACTGTGCATTCTGAACCGTTATTGTCGAAAGCATCACATGCTGTCCTGATCAAGGCTGGTGTGCATTTGTGAAATGAAATAGACATGGATTATGGTCATGTTTAAAATGTTTAGCTTGGGTCTGAGCACTGAGGGACAGAAACTGACCACTAACAACTAACAACACATGGTGGAACACAGCATTGTCAAAGGTTTGTTTTCAAGATTGCCTTTGGAGTTTACTTCATAACATGACTATAATATACATCTTTAAAAAACATTTAAATGTATTTATATTGTTTAAAATTAATATCAAAGTGTGCTGATTGTTAAAGGTGAGCTATTTTGAAGGGTTAGATTCAGTATATATATATATATATATATATATATATAGCCCAGAAACCCTTTGCAGTTATCCAGTTGTTGTTGCTGGGTGTTCACCAGTTCAGTCCACCTCTTTATCTCTACAGCAATCAGAGCTGCGTCCTAAAGTAATCAGTGTGAGGACAAACTTGCGCCTGTTCAATGCTGGCGCCTCAATACTTAAAATTGCCCCGAAACCCCCCTGCTCTTTTAAAGGAGGTTATTATTATACGTCTTTGTCAGAGAGTAAGCATCACATAAATCATTTGTGTCACCTATCTCTGTTTTCAGCAGAACTGCTGAACATCTTAGGTAACCACAGGCTTCCCCACATTAAATCTGACACTGGCCGGGAGTCACAGGCTTTCAAGGGATAAGGGGGGCATTTGCATTGCAGCATGTTTCCCATTCACAAATGTACACAAAAGAAACCCCACACAGTTGTCCCAAATAATCAGTGGACCAGTTCTCCTGGTTGTCCCAGTGCAGTACGGCACTCTTCAGGTTGTCATCAGAGCTTCTATTCTGAGTTTAACTTAACATCACACATTCACCTGGGAACTTTATCTTTACCCCTCTCTCTCTCACACACATGTGACGTCCACTCAAAAATGTCCCCTGGACATGTCCACCTGTTGCAGAGACATAACATTGTTTGACAGGAATAAAAAAACCTTTTAAAAAAGGGAGTGCGTCTCACTGGAAGACACATGTTGGACAAGTGACAAAATACAGTGTTCAGTGAGCATTCCGTCGACCAACATGCAAGTGACGGTAGTGGGCTTAACACCTAAAGGATCTCAAATGTCTCATTGCCAAAGCATTGCCAAGCCCCCTCCCCTAACACTTGACCCCTGCTGACGTAGGCTGTCCATTTACATTTAGGGACACCAGCACTCTACAGCCTTGATACCATTTGTACTAGGGAGAGAAACAGACGTCAGGGCCAAGTCTGAGAGACAGAGTTTTGTGAAGTAGAAGATTTATTACTCGATGCTTTCCAGAGCTCATTTGCTTTTCAGACTTTTCAGACTTTTTGGAGTGCATTTTCTGCAGACCTCTGCATTTGAAAACTATTTACACAGCAGTGTGGAGCACTGAGAGGTAGAGCTGGCTGCGATTGTTGAGCAAGAATTTTCGTCTTTGCCACAGACGTCCCTTGTGAGATTTCTGTCTGAGCTTGGTGTCCTAAGGTGATTTTTTTTTTAACCAATGGAAACCACGGGTGACATCATATCAAACACAATGGGTGACGACAAGAGTGCGACCTTCGATCTCATCCAAAATCGGATTGAGTCACTGAGCACCAAGATGGACAAGCTGATCCACATCCAGGAGAAGGTCCTGAACCGACTGGATGGGATGTCCCACGAGATTGGCGACATTGAAAAGGATATGGAGAATCTAAAGGTTGACAAGAAAGAGATCCCTTTAACTCCCAAGGTTATGAACCACACTCATATGATGGGGCGAGAAGTGAAGCAGATTTGTCAGGAGATGAGCAGCGTCATGTCTGCAGTCAACCAGCGCTCCGAGCAGCAGGCTCAGAAGCTGGAAGGGATGGAAAAGCTGGTCCTCGGCATGCAGCAGGTGATCGGCTTCATTGGGGAGACTGTGAAGAGTTCAAAGATTATGGAGCTGATACTCAAAGGTCCCACAGCCCGGAAAATCTCCAAACCAAAAGACAGTACGGTAAAGCAAGCTAACAAGAAAAAAACATCCATAGATACAACAACAAAGAAACAGGTGAGACCAGGAGATGGGAATGCATCACTGTGTTTGGTTTTGAAATATCATTATCCTTTTCTTTCCTGAATTATGAGTTTAATATAAGGCTTAAAATCCAGGAAAATGCATGATACATTTTGAATAAATGCATTTTAGGATTTACGGTTTGCACTGGTCAGTCAGGGCATCCAATGCTGCTGCAGCCCATCCATCACTGTGGACGTTTAGTTTGACTCCTGTTATGGATATAACCGTACCATAAATTCTGCCACGCTGACTTCGATTTCTTACATCTTGCTCAGATCTTGTTATTCTTGGCAGAACATGTGAAAGTAATCGTAGCACGAGGCCTGAGCAACCAGACGTCCTGATGCCAATGAATGTGACTTGGCCTGTGTACTGAAACGTCCAGTTAATGAGCAGGCGTGAAGAGTAGTGTCTGGGCCTTGGTTTGTGTATGGTTTGACAAATGCTAATTGAAGGGATGTGATTGAAGAACACACATCATGTGTCGGGTCATTTAATGCACAATGAACATGTCAGTTGTAGGCTGTGCTATATGAAGTCGTGACTTTACTTGCACTTGTCGGTTCTCGGTTTGTGCTGAAAGCAATATGACCACCTTGGCATGGTTGACTGTGGGACCCCCCGACAGGGCACGAGAGGGCCAATGTGAGGCCAGTGGTGAAATCTGAGTGGCCCAGTTTAAAAATGCTGTTTTTGGACAGGGAGCTTCTACAGTGTTTGTGGTCTAAAATTTAACCCCTTCCGCCCGGCAAGAGTTAGGTGTCAACGAATTGTGTTGAGTCAGTGTATCTCCCTTTCTGACTCACACAACTGGTACCTCTGTTCATACAGTTCTTGTCCCGCGTCTGTCCAAGTTTATTTTGTGCAATTTATTGAGCACTATTTTTAAGCTACCGTGCCTATGCAATTTGATAGTATGCCAACATATTACGTTTAATTAGGATCCCTGCAGAGAAAAACATTCAAATGTCTCTGTTTACAGAGAGGTCAGAAGAGTAAACATGTAAAATGCATTTGCATAAATTAAGTCCATATTTAACCCAAATGTATTTTTTTTTTAGTTTTACTGCTTTGCTAATGCTGTATTGTTTTGTATTAAAAACAACAACCCTAAAGAAAAAAGTCATCTGCTAAATTCAAATGTGATGAATTGCAATTGATTATCTAATAACATGGAGGGTCATTACTGTGTATAAAGGTCATTCATTTCTGCTTGACATCAGAGGTTTGTGTTGCAGTTCACACTCTTATCCTCTGAGTGCTTGGAGAGTCATATGTCCTTTCCTCTGTGGCCTTCAACCAAATGGAAAGTCTACCTGGGAGATGTCGCTGACGCACTGTGGCGTGTACATTTCCCCCTCACTCTTTGTGTTTAGTCTCTAAACTCGAAATACAATTTTGAGCATAAATGTAATTTGTTCACCTGCCTGCCGCTCTGATGGCGTGTCAAATTTCGAGGAATTTCTGTTGTCGTCAGAGCACTTGTCAGGTGGTTACTCTGTCTTACGCCACCTTCTGAGGTGTGACATTTCTGACTGTTACTGTGGCCTCTCTGACCTTTCCCTCCCCTGATTGAGAAGGGAAACCTGCTCCTAGTATATAATATAATCTGCGGTTCTGCGATGTTTACTTCACAACAACATGCACTCAACAGACATGGTACAAAACTGTTTTTTTTTTGTTCCGTGCTGACCTGAACAGAAAGTGTTAAGTGTGTTTCCTTCACTGGGAAATGTGAACAACAGCCCTGGGTCACTGGTAATATTTTCCACCCGGGGTCAACATTGCATTCCATCCCTGAGTTGGACAAGTGATAAGCTATAAATTCACTGCTCTGCTGATGTCTGTCCCTATGCCGTGAATAATCAAAGACATGTCTTACATGTCAATCTGTGCATGGAGTCGCAGGTGTTTGCTACACCTCTTAAAAAAATAAAATATATAACTTTATATTCATCTTTTATTCATTGGGAAATAACTGAATCAGCTTTCTTTTTTTTTTTCATTTTAATTTTAATATTGTCCCTAACTTTTGCAGATGTCTTCTTGTCAGTGTTGCCATCATTTCATCTCATTACCATCTTACTTTCATTCCATTTGTTGTACACTGTCATAACCCTACTAAGCCTTGTCATCTTGTCTTTTTACTAGAAAACTACCTCTAATAAAACAAGTAAAGGCAGTCAACAGGTAACCTCTGCATGCGAGCCCAGTTCCTCGCAGCCCTCACACAGGATTCAGCTCCATGGACCAAAGCATTTCCTCGCTTCACGCAAATTTGGACGCTTTGTACGTTGCTCGTGTTTACACATTAACACTTTTTTTGAGTAATTTTTCACTAAAATAGTGGTTTTTGTCCTCATCTTGTGCTTCATGTGCAGCTTTAATTTATTTTTAATTGCTATAAGGAAAATATGAAATGACCTGCAATAACATGTTACACCTGCATTTTACAGACAAAAGACCATAAAGGTAAAGATGGGGCCGAAAAACCTCCTTTGAGCCCCAAAAGTCAAAAAGCCCAGAAGAGGATGAAGCCTCCAGAGGCAGGTGCTGAGACTGACACTCTTTACTGTTTCTGGAAAATACTCTGTCCAAAAGAATAACTGCTCTGTTACGACTTTTGAGAGAGGAACGTCATGCTATGCTACAGCAAAAATCTATTATAAGTAGCGCTCATATTAGCACATTAGTGTGACAAAGGTCAGAAATGTAGAGTAAAGTATTTGGCAACTTCACACAAGTACTGCTGTTCCTCACAACCTCTCACAATGTTTATATTCAGACGGAAATACTGACAGGAATTAATCTTTATCATCTTGTGTAAGACTGAAAAATCTCCACAAAAAAAGGTGGGAGTAAAATTGTGTTTCCGTCACTTTCCACAGATAACATCTCCATAAAGAAGCAGGTGTTGATACTTCAAGAAGTTCATAAACTCAACAAGGAAAACAAGGAGAAACCCGGTCAGCAGTTCACACCTGAGTGTCTGGATTTAGAGGCAGGGGTTTCACCTACAGACCAACCAGCTAATGACTCCCCGTGCAACTTGGTGGATTTCCTGCGTGAAGATTCCCAGGTGGCTGAGAACCATGTCGTTGTTGAGAAGGTGGGAGAAACAGCTTCTGAGGTAGAGTCTGCGGTCACACAGAAGGAATCAAAAGTTGAAATTGAAGTTGCTGAGATGGAGGAGGATGAGGAGAAGAAGACTAAAGTCCCAGAGGAGAAAGCTGAGGAGGAATCTTCTCCTGTGGAAGACTCAGAGCTACCTGCTGCCCATGACAGCGTGGACGAGCAAACTGCAGCACGGTATGTCAGGATGCAGTATTACAGTATTTATAGAAATGAAACACATTTTTTATAATATATAATAATATATGTAGCAGTGTTGGAAGGTGGTAAACTTAGAAACTTACTTTCAAAAGGACGTGCCCTTTTATTAAGGAGTATATGGCTTGGCTTTTCTATTGATAACACTTGAAGATTCATACTGCCTGTAGTATAAACGTTTGTGTATTTCCACAATCAAGATTTGTGGCTTTGTTTACATTAAAGATGGTATATATATATATTTTAATTATCTTAAAAAAAATATTTTCACTTCACAAAAAGTACTATATGCAAAGTATGCTCTATTCAGAGTGATGACATCTTGGATATTTTAAATCATACTCTAATCCAAACTAACATTTCTATCTTCTTCGTTTCAGGCCTGACACCAGTGCAGCTGGGGGAGAACAGATAGTCCAGATCAGCAGCACAGTCACCAAGTCCTTTAAGACCGAGGAACACTTCGTGGTAGGGGATCACACAGGAAGCCAGCAGGAGGCAATGGAGAAGGGACAAGGAGAAGACAACATGGGGGAAAAACAGAAGCTGGAGAACTGTGTGTTCAGTGAAAGTGCAGTTGAGATGCAGTTTAAACTCGAACCGAGTGTGGACGGTGAGGGGAAGGACAATGAGACCGAAGGAGAGAAGGACGACATCGCTGCGCACTTTTACATTGGTGAGTGGTCGTCTGTGTAGAATATTTAAATGATAGTAGCCACAGTCCAAAACATACGCCCTTCTCTCCCCTGCAGGTGGTGCTGTACAGGCAATTATAATGTCAATGCTAAAAGGGCTAGCAGAATATCATTACCTTATAATATAAGGTAATGATATTGTGATATTTTATAGCATGGAAAATGTACCTTAATGCATGTAATATCTGTAATGTACTATAGTGCAGAGATCACGGGAATATACAGTGTTGTAACAAAACTCAAAATGTACCTCCTTTACATTTAGTAATACTTTCAGCAAAAGCCTAAAAACAGGCAGTATTCTCAAATACTGTACATGCCTTAGTCTCTAAAATAATAAAAGAGTTAGATGCAGGATTCACAGACTGTACAGTGGTATACTGTATATAGTACTGCATGGATATACCACAGTTGCAGTAGCAAAACAGTTCTGTTAGATTTTCCCCAAAATCTAATGCTGCTACAGTTTACACAACGTTAATCAAATATTTCAACACATCGATGGTTTTTCCATCTCATGCTATTAATAAGTTGCCAGAGAACATTGGTTAGAATGTTGCCGAGCACACAGTTCCTGCTCTGGGATATCAAGGCAACGACTGTGTTTATCATAGCACGTTAGTACACTATGTGCTAACTTGATTATGGCAGCCATGTCCACTTCCATTCATGACAGCGTAGCCAATCAACAATGACGCTCCAGTGTTCTCACATTCCTGCAATCCCATTAAAACAGATTCTATCTATTCTCTGGTCCCTCATGCCTTTCTCCAGACACCACTCCTCCTGCAGCAGCTCCTTTTGATCACCGCATCGTGTCGACCAAACCTAATCAGATCAGCAACTTCTACACCATCAACTGGCAGGAAATCCTCGGCGGGTGAGTACTGTACACGTGTGAGAAGTCGGACCCAAATAATAATAAAAAAAACAACCCATCACAGGTCGTGACTGGTTGATCGGTCTTAGATCCGAGGGAGTGAGAGTTTAAATTCCCACAAAGCCTGGTTGCATAACCACCTCCCCCTCAACTCCTCATCACTTCTCTTCTCTGGTTCATAACTTCAGAGTCACAGCAGTTATTTTTACTTGAGAAATGGATGGTATGTGAAACCATATCCCCCATGCCAGCTGCTGGGTAATCACTAAGTGTTAATCTGGGTCTTCAAAGAGGAGACGGCCTCAAGCTCAGATATAATGAAAAAACAGATTAGGCATTCCCCAGTTTGAAAGCAGGATCATTTTTGAATCGTCACAGGAAAACTCACAAAACACTGTGTTTCTGTTCTTTTTTTTTTGAGTCATTTGCAACATGTTGGATTTTTAATGCATTTTTTTTCTATTTCTTTTTTTTCAAGGGGGCGATTTGGCCAGGTGCATAAATGTGTTGAAAACTCATCCGGTCTCACTTTGGCAGTCAAGGTCATCAAAGCCAGGAGTCAGAAAGAAAAGGTAACGAATGAGCCTATTTTAAATATCTAAAGTAAAAAGAATAGCACGAGACACTGCAGGGACACATATGGAAGTTTTACTCTACATTTAGCAGAGAAGTCAAAGGAATAGGAAAGAAATGTTTGACTTGCAGACAACAGCTGACACTTGACTGTGTTTGTTCACAATTGTGTTTGTTTGTCTGTCTGTCTGTGGTTCTGGTAGGAGGTAGTGAAGAACGAGATCCATGTCATGAATAATCTGGACCATGCCAATCTGATCCAGCTCTACGCTGCATATGAGTCAAGGAATGACATCATCCTTGTACTTGAATAGTAAGAGGCCCCTCGCTTTTTTTATTGCTCTTTTTTTTTTTACACACACGTATTATACTATTATTAGCTCTTTAATTAACGTTAGTATTTATTATTAAGGCCCAAATGGATTTCTTATGTTTTATATAATACAATATAAAATAGAATTCACTATTAATCATTGCATGAAACGCTAACAAAAGGCTACCTAGAGCACATAAAAGCCTACTCTGTGGGCAATTCGTTTTTGAATTTATACAGTACATTTGAAGTAACAAAATACAACAAAATGTACAGTAGAGATAATCTGTGAAGAAAAACAAATGGAAAAGTAAATAAAAGGAATATTAGAGTTTTGTAAAAACAAGACAAAAAATAAAATACTTATGTAAAGCACAAAATATTTTAGTCAAGATTCTGAAATACCTCATAACATTTTCCAAGTACCCTTATAATTTGTTGCAAAATTTGTTGCAAAATATTTCCAAATATCCAAAGGTTTAACAAAGGTTAAAACCCATGGTGTTTATAGCTGCATTTGTGGTTGTGTTTAGCGTGAGTGGTGGCGAACTGTTTGACAGAATCATAGATGAAAACTACACTCTGATGGAGCTGGACGCTGTGACCTTCATCAGACAGATCTGTGAAGGACTGCAACACATGCACAAAATGTACATTCTACACCTTGACCTAAAGGTAACCACATTACTTGTAGTTTTAGATATCTTAGTAATTGATTATTTTGAAGGAATTGTAAAAAAAAAAAATTCTCTTAAAAATTTCAGCCAGAAAATATCCTTTGTGTGAGCAGAGTGACGAATAAGATCAAAATCATTGACTTTGGTCTCGCAAGAGTGTGAGTAGTGTTTATATTTGATTTGAACTTGTTGCTTCTATTTGATGCACAACAATGCAAATTGTCATTGATATAACATTTCTTACACACCACAGATATAAACCCAGGGAGAAGCTTCGAGTGAATTTTGGTACTCCGGAGTTTCTTGCTCCAGAGGTCATCAACTACGATTTTGTATCGTTCAATACAGACATGTGGAGCCTCGGGGTCATCACCTACATGCTGTAAGTCATTGTTTAAAAAGAAAAACAAAGAATATAGCAACCTTTTCTCCCCTGCAGGAGATGCTATTAATACACAATGTTGGTTAAGTTTGATCTTGTCGGTTGCTTGATATTTTTGTACATGAAAAAACAATTCTGGTAACATAGTGTGCCAGTCTACTTGTAAATACTTCATACTGCAAAGTGAAAATGCATGTTTATACACAAAAAACCCCCCCAAAAAACTAAACCCACACACATCACCATGTGTTTAGTGGACTATGACACTACATGAGAACCAGGTGTTTGACCACTGTCAGTGATGGCATGTCCTTTGTCTTCAGTTTGAGTGGACTCAGCCCTTTTCTGGGTGACGATGACAACGAGACCCTGAATAACATCTTGGCTTGTCAGTGGAACTTTGAGGAACAAGAATTCGCAGATACATCAGATCAAGCCAAAGATTTCATCTCTAGGTTCCTCATTGTAAATAAAAGGTATCTGCTCTTAAAAAAAAATGACACCCAAGTCTGTTATAATTTTCATTTTATCAAGTCTCTACGTTATTTATTTTTCCTTTATCAGTTGGAGGATGAGTGCAGCCGAAGCCCTGAGGCATCCTTGGCTGTCTGACACAGCGCTCCACCGTAGCCTTCACACAAAGGTAGAGATTACGCACTTGTTATTAAAGGCAAATTATATATAATTTAACTGACTTGTAATTATTGCGCTCTCTTCCCGACTTACAGAAAATCATGTGCAGGTCACGACAATCATCAGCTGTGCCTGAAAGCTGAGGTTGGTCTGTTTAATTGTTTTTGTCTCCCTTTTCCCCCCTGTTTAAATAATTACCCCATTCACAGAACTATTTAAAACGACCACAAGGGGGAGGCATGGTATCATTTTTTCAACTGCCCTTTCAACATTTGCCTGTTTTTAGGGCTCTGCATTGATGTGACAGCTCCAGCTGTGGCCACTCGGACCAACCCTGTCCACGTGTGTTACCTACATATCTGTCAGTGCCCTCTACTGTCTTCTGTTAATGCATCTGAAACATTAAATCAGCCTGCGCACAATTACCGAATGGACATCCTAGTCGACAGAGCAGATTAAGCTTCTTGCACACATTACGTTCTTGTACATTATATTAGGGGGCATTTTGGTGACTATAACAGGGCAGTTTTCTTTAGTGATCTTTTTAAATGTCGAATCCTTCAGACCACAGTTTGTGTTTTCATTGACGTTTTTAAGGTGTTAGAAACAGTGGCTGTTATAGTTATTTAGTCTCTGCTTATGTTTTACAAAGGGCAGTTTTAAATATTTCACGGGCATTTTATATGATGTAGTCAATAGAATAATAAATATAATATAAATCAAAACAATGATTGGCAGTGATATGATAGTAGACAGTGGCTGTTTAAAGTTTTTTGGGTTGTTTAAAAAATATAAAAATATTTAATATTTTATTTATTCAGGCAGAAATTCAATATTAAATATATTATGTATGTTGTCATAATTCAATAATTTTCACCATTTTGTTGTTTTGTTTTAGAAGCCACTTATGCCAACAGAGGCCGCTGTTAGATCACGGTTGTTTCACATTAGCCCGCAGTAGACAAATTAAATACCTTGTGTGTTGATATAACCATAGGCTGCCCTTTGTTTTCCTTCATACTTGAACAGGAACCGTGAGGTGAGAGACATTGTCGCCACAACACGTAGCTTCACCACTAGGTGAGGCCAAATCCCCCAGTGTAACTGTAACTTCTCTCTTCACTTTACTGTGTTTTAGATGGCAAAAACTATATTATAAGACTATGTTTGTTTATAAAGCTTAAGTATGTGTGAAAACGCAATATATGATACACTCACTTAATTTATAACTAAATATTGTAATTTCAGTCCTATTTTGCTGCTCTTTTCATGACCTGCTGATGCTGTAGATTAAAAAATTCATTTTAGAAACAGACCTCAATTACTTTAAGATAAAGCTACACAACTGCTTTTTGATACATTTATTTTTTCACGCTTTTTTAAACATAATATTATTATCAAACTCTAAATTAAAATTCACACGTCATCATATATTGTTGAGACAATGTATTGTACCTAAGTACAGAATGTAGTGTGTGTGATTGTTGTCTAAGAGCTGTAGAATGTGCACTTTATACTGTTATTTATTTAAACTCTATATCATACCAAACGCTACAGTAGTTTTCCTGGAAAGGCATGTGTGGTCAAATCTGCCCATGTCTTCTGTTTTTCTGTCCTTTATACTGGTATTTTTAAAGAAAATACATTTCACCAACACATGTTATGTCTTATTAGCTAGCTGCTTCATTTTATTTCTCCGCTGCATGCTGTTAGGTGTTTGCATCACCAGTTGTTAAAAGCTTAAACCGAAGGGAAACGAAGTAGAACTTTATAAAATTTTTGTTCTTTTTATCGTACTGTGTGCTTGAGCTGCCACACCACTGGAGCCCGGTCTGGCTGCGTGTCCACACCACTGTAGATGCTTTTTTCCCACACTACAAAAGTATCGTCGAAATACCTTCTGTGAAGGATCACTGAATACACAATCTACCTAATGTTGCCTATGTGCATTTACTGTTGTTGGAGGATTAGAACTACCTTTTATGTGTTGGTTTGAATGTTGTCAAACACTGAATGTGTTAAGTTGAATTCAGCATGTGTGTGTGTGAAGTGTCTATACCTCAATTAAACAGGAACTGTGTCAACAATCTGTGCCTGCTACTGTTATTGTCTAAATTTTCCGAATGGGCGAAAATTCACTTAGCTCACATCCCCTACTCCTGAAAAATAATTTTTAAAACATTAAACATTGTTGGAAACTGAAGCCTAGTTTTTGAGTCATTTTAAATGATAGAGAGTGTAATTTTGGAGTAGAGAACTATTAATAAATAGTATAAATCACTACTCTTCAAATAAAAGTTGATTATAATATTTTTTAAAAGTAAGCAACAAGGCATTCATTACAAATTGTTTCCAAACTGTTATAATATAAATACAAAATTGATTCTATTGAAATTCAAATCAGACTGTAAAAGCCAAATTAATTGACACTTATCTAAATTTTCTATTTTATAAATATTTGTAAAAAAATGAAAAACAAAAGCTACACAGGTCTTTAGAAGCCTTTTCCACAGACAAACCCTCACTCAGTGAGCCCTCCGACGACCAAGGTCACAGAAATGAAAAAGGAAGATGTACGACAGTGAGGAAAGGAGAATGTGTACATTTCAAGCTACATTTCCCCAAAGTATAACTTGTGTTTTGACGTGCTCTATCCTTTAACAACAGTAACATCTTATTTCACAGAAGCCACAGGGTAAGTCAGGGATACGTGCAGATTTTATGGAGACTGTCGTGGGGAACATATATTTAATTGTACAGAAATACCGAGAAGGCAAACTGTATCACCTAAAAGTACAGAAACCCAACAACTGGCTAGTTTTACATCCAGTACTTTGAGACAGTGAAAATACAAAAAACACAGCAGGGTCATCAAAATAATTCACAGTTTTAGGTTATTTTTGGTTTGTACAGCATACAGCGATGACAGACAAACCTGAAATCATCGGGGACTCTCAGTCCATATGTATTATTCTCTTTGTCACTTATAAGTAGAAAAAAATCATGGCAGGCTGTAAAAATGTAAAGCTGCCCTAGAAATACGTGCTGAATGTCTGCAACTAAAGACAAAAAAGAATTAATAAAACCTTTTTTTTAAATTATATTAAATTATATTATTTATTTTATTTTAACAAAATTCTTTTTACCAAAAAATTTAAATTTTATTTTTTGTGTATTTTGTGTAATACTACTACTACTACTAATAATACATGTTTTGACTGTACCATTAGGTACTTTACAGTAGGTATATACATGTATTTAAAAAACAACTCAATCTTTATTATTGATTTTATTGTCAGCCGCAGTGGCCGAGTCACAGCAGTGAGGAATTATCACATAAAAAGAGAAAATTAAGCAACAAAATGTTGATAATGAACTATTGAAAACATTATTATTAAAATTTTTCATAATTTAGGCTGTAAAATAAGTGACACTATGGAAGTCAAAATTTAAAATTTATGTGAATTGCTATGTGAATTGGTTTGTGACCTGGTTTAAAGAAGCTGTCCTCAAATTATGGGTTGTAGCTCAAAAGTGGGCTTCTCTACTTTAAATTAAAATCTTAAATAATATAACTTTACCTAATCTCTCACAGTGCAGCATAACGGGACCTATAATTGAGTAAGTGAAAACCCTAAGTACTGCAACAACTCCCAAATCAAGACTATGTGAAGTTGTGGTTGAGTTACCTGTTTATCCATTTTCACACCTTCGTTTATTAGACAATAAAAAGTTCCACATCAGGAATGGTTTTGATTTCTAGGTAACAAGACGCAGACTCAGAGCATTAAGGTCGGCTATTAGCCATTACAACAAGCATTCAAATCACTGAAAAACAGGTGAAACTGATTTCTTTCTCAGGAATTTTTCTAGACCTCTGACTTACTTTTTTTTTTTTTTTTTTTCATGAAGTATTTGAGAAGCCTGAGGCCTGGAAGCTAAACACAAGCTCTTGCTCTATCCCTGGTCCAAGGCCCAGATTGGAATGGTGAGAAATTCAATTTAAGGGAAGGAAAAACCCCTCCCAGAGCTGCTCCCTCCCCCCCTCACCCTAAGTCTCCTCCATCCACATCTCCAGGGGCTATCTCGAAGAGTCTAACCAAAACCAGATGGACTTATTGGGCCTAAAGATAACAAATAGTGCTTGTGTTCCTGTCAGTTAGAGACCACCGGAGCAAAGAAGCCGAGTGCGAAAGAAAAGCACGCTGATACGTCTAAATCTTTGTCCTACAGAAAACTGTATCGATATTGACAAGTGTTATAATACACTATATGAAAATAAAACAGAAGTCGCTGCTGAGGTTGAACCGGACAGAAGCTCAGAGACCGGGGCGCTGGTGGGAGGTGTGGGGGTTGCCGCTGTTTAAAAAGGGGGCTGCTTTCAGAAAACCAGGTGCCATCTTGGGTGTGGGAAGGTAGGCTGTCACCAGTGACCCAAATCTCTGGGTGGCATGCACTCCAGTTTGTTAGCTGATACATCTACCGCCCACACACAGGATAGAGAGAGGAAAAAAGGGGAAGGGTGACCCCAGAACTCCAAGCCTCCCTGCAGATTGACTAAGAAAGTGTCCTTTGTAACAGGAGTTTCCTCTACATAATTAAAAAATATTGCTCTCTGCTCAGAAGGGAGGAGACCAGGCCCAGGGTTATAGGAGGCTACGTGAATTCCCTCTGATTCGCTGTGTGTTTCATGTACGAGGCCCAGAGCTAGACCTAAGTTTGTCCAAACAAGAGACTCCCTCTCTCCCTCTCTCTCTCCCTGCTTCTCTCCAAGGAGGTCCAAAGATCCAAAGAGCGGACCAGCCACTTCTCAAAGCCCGGGGCAGGTGGTTCCTATTTGCGTAAGGGGGGAACAGATCACGTTTATGTTCAGTTAATGGCAGAACACGTGTCGTCACGTCCAGCAGTGGGAACATGCTGGGTGACTGATCTGTTTTTAACACCGCTGAGGTTTGCCACCAATAAGAACGTGACGTCCAGTTATCTCTCCATGGCTTTCCTCCGCTGGCCTGCATGTTACACCTGAATATGGTTTATTGTTTTTCCTCTGTGGTTGATGTAAAGTCATGCAACAAGAATAGAACAGAAAAACACACAGAGCAGCTTTTAATATCCTGCACGAGTGCTTTCAATGCAGCTGTTGTCACCAGTGAATGAATGCACTGATAAATTATTATTGGTTTATATGGTTATTATCCTCCGACATAGTCAAAGCATAAAGATTACATTTAATTTTGGAGGTCCCCAAAACCCTGGTGCACAGCCCAGTGCTTGTCCATGGGTTATTTGCTGCTGGGCTGCTGTGAAAGAATGAATATTTTGCTTAATTTAAAGACATTTTTCCCAATCTCCCAAGTATCAACACAGCTTTACAAAACAATAATTACCCTCCTAGAGCAACACATCTGGACCGGGTTTAGATTTTGAACTAGATCTATCTATCTATCTATCTATTTATCTATCTATCTATCTATTTATCTATCTATCTATCTATTTATCTATCTATCTATCTATTTATCTATCTATCTATCTATTTATCTATCTATCTATCTATTTATCTATCTATCTATCTATTTATCTATCTATCTATCTATTTATCTATCTATCTATCTATTTATCTATCTATCTATCTATCTGTTATCTGTCTATCTGTTTTACAATTATGGAATTTATACCATGAGTGGCAGGTAGATGGCACTTTTGTTTCACTAAGCTGCTGTTGCAGCATGTGTTGAATGTCTGTCTGACTTTGCCTTCCATCCTCACCAGGCTTCTCCTTTTATCAAATGCTTCACAGCATGTTTGGGTCTGAGGACAGACTTAAAAAAAAAGGCTAAGGAAGGTTATGACATACAGAAACACTGAGGTGAAACTGAAGTGTAAAGCTTTCATCCATCTTAGCCCTATATCAGCTATGATTCCAGCTTGGCTCTGTATGTGAAACTGTGTGGTTACAGAGTCAGCATTTGGGGCCGTCTTTGTCCATTAAACATGGGCACAGTTTCAATGAGCGTACAGGTCAACGAGTAATTGTCTGTAGCCCATATATTCTTTCTTACATTTACCCTTGAAGCCCACATTATAATCAGCCACATGTGGCCCACTCAGATGCTGCCTGGGATTTTTCCTCCCAGGACTTACACCACAGTTTTCTTTTAATGAGTTAATTCTGAAATCAGATTAAATATTAAATTATTAACCAGTTTTCTTAACCAACCTAAGAACATGCACTTCCCTGTCTCTTTATAACACAGTGAGAATTTGGAATTATTTACACCAGATGCTGTACTAGCAAAAACTGCATGGAGAAATTGTGACCACTTATTGAGCGCATGAACACCTGATAAAAATAGTTAAAAATTCTTTCTAATCAACAGAAGCCTTAAATGCACCTTAATTCTTAGAGATCTATTTCCTTCATGTGATGATCTGTTCTGGAGGCTGCCATGATATTGTTTCTTATCAAGAGCGAGATGTAAAAAAAACATTTATATCAGCCCATGCATTGTCTATGGGGCAGAACATTCTCTTCAGACACAGTCAAACATGACTTTTGCAATGAAAATAGCCATTATCCACCCACTTGCAGATTGATTTACAGATGAGGGGGAAACACAGCAGCTTGCTGTGTCCAGTGTTTACAGTCGGTGGTTTCAACACTGATCAAATAGCCAAGGCGAAGTCTTTAATGATCTGGGAGCTTCCCTGCTGCTGGGTCATATGCATGGCTCCATATCACCTACAGGTTTGGCCCTACTGCTGGTTAGGCGGTCCCACAGTGAGGCCCATTACTTCAGCTCTGTATTTACTCGTCCCTCTGGCTCACCCCGTGGCCCGCACGGGGTCTCTGTTCAGTCTGTCAGCCCCGCTGAGAGGCCTCGGTGGCCAAGAGAGCCATAATCCATCAGGTCTCCATGTGTGTATGTTCTTCGCTCTTTTATGCTTTAGCTCTTGCTGAGGAGCCATTGCTGAGGGAACTAAATGGAGCCAAGCATCTTGTTCAAACAGACTGATGGAGCATGTTTTCTGTGACTGAGGTTAGTGCGTTAACACCAGCCCCCGTGTGCAGGCCATGGCGTACGCGTCA